CTTAAAAAAGTCTTCTACTAAAATTTTCCTATATTTTTCTCTCAACTTTATTATGTGGTGTGAGATATTTATTGATTTAGACATCATCATCATCATATCAGCCGTTAACTGTCCACTGCTGTATATAGGCCTCTCCCATAAAGGAGGGAGTTTTCCAGTAGTTGCCACGCTTAGCAAGCGCATTAGCAACCACAGTTAGGCTTTGGAGATGTTTTAAGAGGGACGCTGCTGCCCATCCCTTGCCCTTCCTTAGTAGCCTCTTGCGACACCCACGGAAAAGGAACGGGGTGGCCTATTCTATACCGGGATCACACGGGAATTATCACCATCATATCAACCGTCAACTGTTAAACATAGGCCTCAGCTATAAGAAAAGTTTTGCCAATAGCTGCCACGCTTGGCAGGTGGGTTGGCAACCGCATTTGGACATGTAATTAATAAATTATCATGTAAACATTTCGCAGTAATTCACTGACGATTTACGATTAGATAAAATCAGATGAGATTGTATCTAGCATGGTAAAGTCATGATAAGTAATCAGATATACAGGATGTACCATTAGTATCCTTTTATAACACTCCTTCTTGTTTTGTACTACTGCAACTGAACACTTTTCCTGAAGAAACATGAGAAAGGCGATATCGGTTGATAAATTATAGGCCTTCTTATAGTAACAGATTACTAGATACAATGTTTTTTTTTTTTTTTTTAATTAATAATGATGCAATGATGTCAGCACCAGCGCTAACGATATATATTGGCAAAATACCATTGAGGGATTATGATGATGAGGGGCGAGGATGAAAAACCAGATAACCTATCGAGATAAATTCATCTGGAATTAAGCACGATAGTTTCCACGAGAGACCGCAAGAAGATTGACCTCCTCCACTTCCCCACGCACTGAGTTAGCATAGGACCCTTTAATTATATTACTTTATATTAACGATAATACATAATTATGAAGTATATACAGAAATCAAAGAAAATTGATTTTAAAATTAGTACTCACGCAAACATATCTAGTTGAATAAATAAGTACCACACCATACTTGTAAGAATTTTATAATAATGCCTCTTTAAAAATATATACTATTATATAATTTAAAAGCTTTACGATAAATTTCTTTAATTTTACGCCACTTAGACTAACATTAACTAGACTTATTACAATAAAAAATGGAGTCACGCGTCGACGTATTCCTGGTACAATAAATCAGAATCAATAATCGACCATAATCGATATTGCGCAGACGCCGCCGATCGATTTATAATCGTCGTGAGTCGGGAAGTGTAATGTTACATGCCCATCCCTCGGAAGGTAATGACCGCAGGATTTACTTTCTTCCCATCATAGGTTGTCTTCGTTTATCTGCCTGTTAAAGTCATTTAGAATACGAGGCCTTACCAACGACTTCGTTTGCGTTACCGGGATATATTGTTTGACTAAAATATTTTATATATAACTTTTTTATTCCATGACGATTAATAAGCCGTTAAAGCGCCAAGAAGCAAAAAACATACAAAGTCATTTTAATTTTCAATACATTAGGTTTTATCCACGATTTGGTCTGTGTGACCGAGATATATGTATTCTTTGACCAGAATAAAAAGTAGCTTATGCCCTGTTCTATCCCGAATACGTATATCGAAACCTTACTGAATAAGTTTCCTCACAATTACAAACATACCATGCATATACATGCATGAGTAAGAATATATTTATGTCTACGTATGTATGTATTTGTATAAATGTACAATTAAATATGATATAAACAGTTATGCATAAACTTAAGTTTATCTAATTCTTTTTGTTTAAAAATTGTCACAATATTGTACACCGGTCTACCCGCTGATATTGATGCAGCTTTCCACTTTGGGTTTACTGGAAGAAAACTCATTTAGTACTTTTTTGTTCTCTTTTGTACATTTACTCACCTTTGTCATATGTTTATGTATTATTAATGTGTACAATAAACTATAAAATAAACTGCACCACGTCTGTATACTGTCACAAGCATTTTTTAATGGGTGATGATGGAACAGTAACCCCGCCTGCGCTATCGGTAGTCTCCATTATTAACAATGCCTCCCCCGGTCACATTAAACCTATACATACTGAGGACGATTAGAAAGTTTGGAATTTCTGGAAATTAGAAAATCCATTATAAGTTTCTTCTAACAGGGGAATTGTAGAAAAGAATAATTAAAATCAAGCACTTAAATATAATTCTACTGAACCACTTGGGTATAAAACTTTAAAAGTAAAATTACTTTATAATACGTGGGCATCTAATTGTTCGCAATTTGAGATTAATATCTTACTATATTTCAAATGAAATATATTTATTTATCCAAGTAACATATTTTATAAATCTCAAATTTCGAACAACACAATAAAATTGTAACAAATGGAAACAAATCAGTTCATTGCCTCACTTGCCCAAAAGGCTTTCAAACCTCGTTATCACGTGCCGCGGTGACAAATGGGCCCCGCCTCCCGCCACAGCTAACTCGTATGTCCAGGAATTCATTAGCTTCCCTATTAATTGGGGGCCGGCCGCAAGTCCTCCCTAATAGCAAGCGGCAATTCCAAAAGGTAGATGTATTTGTTTCCTTTTTATTTTCGTTATTTATAATAAATTACCTAAATAAAAAACAGTTCTAAATAGTTTAGGGAACAAAAAACAAATGAATAGGTTCAATTTTAAAATTGTTAGGATAGGTCTTCACTATAAGCACTTAAGTAATTTCTCAAAAAGTACTTAAGTGCCTTTTTTTACAACACGGGGCAAACGAGCATGCGGCTCACCTGATGGTAAGTGACTACCGCTGCCCATGATCACCCACAACACCAGCGGCATTGCAGGTGTGCTGCCGGCCTTTTAAAAAGGAATATACTCTTTTCCTGAAGGTTATGTTGTCGTATCGGTTCGGAAATACTACTGCTGGAAGTTGATTACAAAGAATGGTTGTGCGTGGTAGAAAGTGCTTTGAAAAACGCACGGTGGAAGACCGCCACTCGTTTAGATGATTGGGATGAAACTTTAATATGTGGCGGGTTGTACGGTGGTGAAAATCAGCAGCAGATATCGATCCGAACAATTCCTCAGAACACTTTCCATGATAAATTCAGTAGAAGATGCACAGAGATGCAACATCTCTGCGAATCTATTTTTAATACTGATATTTGCTGATTATAAATTTATTCTTTTATTTCTTATTTTTTTTTATTTAGGATCCTCGTTGTCAGTTGTTAATTCTCCACTTAGGCCTCCCCCATACAATGTCATAAGGAGTATTCCTTAGCCACAAGTATCCACTCACTCCTTGCAATCTGCAATATTTGAATTTTGAATTAATACATTAGAGGCTCCGTCACTGTATCTACTGAGGAGTCATCCTACACTGCATTTGCCCGTACCGGGTCACCATTCTAGATTCATTCTCCTCCGGCGATCATCAATTAAACTATAATATCACCATGATATAGATAATATAATATATGACCACTCATTGCCATCCAGCTTATCCTTCAGGCTGGGAAAACGGATTCTTAGTAATAGGATGTATGTTAGTAATGGAGATCCAACAGCCCTATTGCTAGCAATATACTCCATTAGTTCGACCTCCACGCAGTTCCCGTTGGAAACCACCTTGATTAATTCTTTATGATATCGTCACTATGGGCCAGCTGGTCTATTTCAAACTCAACCTAGAGCTTGCTATTCCATTATCATTCGTTAAAAAACTATACTAGTATAATAAACCAATAAAATAAAATTTATTCTAATGCCGATACATGCAAAGACATCTGTTGAGAAAACACTGTAAACTTCTCATGTAATGCTCCGAAGCTATGAGTAGTGTCATCTAGCGGGTAATAGCAAAAGTTATCTTCTATGATTATCCTAGTATTATAATTGCGAAAGTTTGTAACGAAGAAAAAGACAGATGTTTGTTATTCTGTCACACAAACACTGCTTAAATGATTTTAATAAAATTTTACCAACTAGTAGGTTAGGCCTAACGCGGGTGGGGCCACGTAATACAACTAGATTAGGATATATATCTATTAACCATATCAAAGAACAGAAATGAAAGCCAAGTCGAAAGAAAGTATTAAGTGTGCAAATGTGAAACTGAACAAAAATAAAAACGATGAAATGAGAAGCGAGAATTTTAGTATCGGGGTCAATAATAGGCTGACTTCGTGCAGAAGAAGGGACTCATTATGATGAACTCCTTCTTCCAAAAGCAACTATACAGAAAATAAACCTGGGCTAACCTCTATAGATACATAAAAAATGAGATAGACTTCATCATGACGACTAATTGCCATTTGTTCAATGATGTCTCAGTGATTAACAGGTTGAAAACCGAAAGTGATCATCGAATGGTAAGAGGCACATTGAACCTGAATAATAAACTGGAAAGATTTCGTCCGATGAAATCTACGCTCTGATCTTCGCATTATTGAAAACCCCAAGAGTTGTCAAGTCGAATTGTCAAATCGCTTTCAGTGCCTGGTGAACTGTGAAACAGTGGACGATATCAATAAAAAGCTAATGAAAATTGTGCAAGCAGTGGGAGCTAAATTTTGCAAGTCCCGATGCTCAAAAAGAACCCAAAAACTCTCTGATTATACTCCAGATCTTATGAGGGAACAGCGTAAATTATAGTCTCAATCTTCAACGTCAGAATATAGGCAGCTTACCGATATCACCAACATTCAGAATTTATGTAATAATAAAATATAAATAAAATAATACAGCCCTTTTGAACTTCTGGAGAACACCCACTCACCTATTTCAACACTGAACACAAATATGAAATATTATTACAAACCTCTCAATACATTATGTACCTACCTAATAACATCGACTGGCACAATTCACTAAATTGCGCAAGATGATTATCTTGAGAATGTCAATTTTTCGATAGCCGATCTATTGAATTCTCTTGCGTTATCTAAAACAAGAGTATCACTATCGTAAGTTACAATTTAGTACATAGGTCGATTAGGTTCCATGTAACCGTCTTGCTTGTAATAAGTAACTAAAAAACACTAAGCACGATTCGTGGTCACTATACCGTAAGTAGTAAGGCAATGGATAGACCTAGTACAAGTCGACAGTCCGTGGAGAAGATTGAAGTATTCGAAGTACGTGAACATGTTCCTTATCAAGCTGAAGTGACTAGGGCACCAGCGGCATACGACGAAGAGAGTGGGATAGCATACGATTCCTCATGGGATTCGGCTTGGCGAGCAATCTGTCAGCTTTACAATTTACTCCATCATATGCAAGTGGCGATCGTGGTGTTTTGTTTGTGGCATTTCGCGCTGACGTCGGAACCCAACGGAGCTATCACTAACTTGCAACTGCACATCATCTTCGCGGGCACTGGTGTATGTATTTATTATTTTAATATTTATTTATTGATAGTATATGTATCATCATATCAACCGTTAATTGTCTACTGTTGAACACAAGCCTCTGCAAAAAGGACACTGTTGCCTATTCCGCGACCATTAAGTTCGCTTTCCAATAATAATACAAATCAAAAATTAATTTTGTTACTAATTTCACTTAGAGAGTATTTCTATAAAAATTCTTATAGTATTACTGTGACAATTTTTGAACAATCTTGAATACCTTTACAGTAAGTTCTATTGAAATAGACTATAACAATATATCTGTCTATCGCGGCTTTATCCACATGGAATGCGTTATCTCTCGCACCTCATTCTTACTTAATATTATAAACGTCAAAGTTTACATAAAAATGATTGTGTACTTTTTACTCAATCACACTAAAATGACTAAACAGCTTTTAATGGAATCCTTATTTAATATTATAAATATAAAAGTGAGTTTCCGTGCCTGCTGTGGCAAACGCAGATAGGCTTCGAAGATGTTTTAAGAGGGGCGTTGCTACTCATCCCTCGCCCTCCCTTAGTCACCTCTTACAACACCCACGGGAAAGGAAGGGATGCTCATTTTATGTTGGGACTACACGGCTAATTGATTGATCAATTAGCACTCAATCAGATGAATTACTTCTGCCAATGACAATTATGTATATTTTACTCTGTAGCCCGGATAAAAAATGATTATGAACAATGTATGTTTAAAGTCACAGACACGTCAGAAACGCTCTCGACTTTAGTGCTTGCTTTGGTTCTGAAGAATGCCAAGGCATGGACTGTGTTTTTACTATGGCAATAATATTAATAATCTTTAAATATTTTTTGATACGTATTGACTTGTATCTGCATTTAGGCTCCATGATCAGATTAAGTGAACATAAAACAAATCAAAATGTTTCAGATCTTATTATGTTATGTTTGAAATTGTGTTTTAAAATGTTTAATTTCAAATTGCAGTACCAGCTATTCCTTGTAGAAGCAGTGTTAACATTACATCGACATAACTCCTGGTCATTCCAACTCTCTCCTGATGCCAAACGAATCGTCCACGGATGCCTGCAGCTAATTGGATCGGTGTTCGTGTTAGCAGGTAGCTTCCTAGGACTAGCCGAAGTTAATATGACCATACCTACTGCTCATGGAATATGTGGTAAGCATTCATTATTTTATTTTTATTTTATTAGCCGACTACAACAAAGAAAGGTTATATTTTAGCAATCTTAACTAGCTTGTTAAAATTGTAATTTTAAAAGTATGTTTGGGTTTACGTATACTCATCCGACTTTGACGAATTTGGTGTAAATCGACTCATTATTGTGATCCAGTAAGTTAGACTAGGTATTTTTTTTTTATTTTGTCTCTAGTAGAGTTAAAGATTTTAGAACTATTTTTTCTTATTGGAGTTATAATTTTTAAAACAAATTCTCTTAATAAATAAGGGTTATTTTATTAATTCTAATTTAATTATTTATGATATGTATATATACTACAACGAATCTATGTACTTATAGAAAAATAATTACGTCTACTACTGCTAAATCACTAAATAATTCTCTAGTAATCATAGTTCAATCTTTTCTTAATTTGAAACTTTGTGAAATTATATTTTTAAATTTGTTTATTATTATTATTGTTATCATAAAAAAATTCTAATAAGTACAACAACTAATGATGTTTTGACAAAAAAATGTGATTAGTTGGGAACAAAATTGCAACAAAATACTTACTAACGTTAACTCATTCTCTCATCAGCTTGATTTTCACTTCATAAATCTCTTATGATTCCCAGAGGATAAAAAGGAGTGATAACACATTGTATAGTATACCGCTACAGCTCTATATAAATGCATCTCTCGGATGATTGAAATATGTCTGTCATCATAAGATAACTGTAAGATTAGATTAGGTACTAGTAGTAAATTCTTGTTTGTATCTATCTAATGTTGCCAAACTAATTCACTGATAATGCACTGGGTATTTCCTTACTGAAATAAGAACAGCAATTGATAAAAACTGTAGATAAGTAATCTAGCTATTTAGCCATCCCGAAAATGGGCACTCTTCGGTGTACATTTTTATCAATTAAAATAAAATTTCTTAATAGATAATAATAAAAATAAATATTTTTATATAATTTTTTTTTAATATAATTGCCATGTGGTCTCGGCATAGAATAGGCCACCCGTTCCGTTCCCGTGCGTGTCGTAAGAGGACACTAAGGAAGGGCGAAAGATGGGCAGCAGCGTCCCTCTTAAAACAACTACAAAGCCTAACTGCAGTTGCCAATCCGCCTGTTAAGTTTGGCAATTACTGGCAAAATCCCTCTTATGGGAAAGGTCTATGTTCAGCAGGGCATGATGATGATGATGAAATGTTTTTATCCAACTTGAAATGACAAATAAACTGATGGGTATTTTTTAATGAGATTTTCTTTCCTAAAAACTGATAAGATGTTACTCGTATGTCTACAATACTTAATCATTTCACTGTCAATGCATTTTAAATTCACTCGTTTTGTTTTATTATTATTTACAAGCTTGTTTTGTTTTATAATTGCAGGTGTAATCGCCCTGGGATTTTCTCTATTAAGTTTTGTATCAGGCGTCATGGCACTATTTTCTGCCAAAGTGCGACTCATGGTTAAAAACGGTCCTATGAAAATGGTGCATATGGCGGTCGGCATTTTTGCTATATCCATGGGCCTTGTGACGATGGCTATGGGTTTCCATATGCCGTACTTCAGTGCTCGACAGGGTGGTCTGTCGACTGCTTTAATAGTTTTCGTAGTATTAAATCTTGCTTACATTCTTATACAGCCGATTGTTAACATAATATCAACAACAAAAAGCGTTATGTGACTAGTCGATGTCAAGGGCTCGACAGATGGCGACAGTGTAGCCTAATGTTGTATATCTCGCTCTTACGTAACTCAAAATTGGTAAAAAGTGTTAGTGAACTACCTACCTGAAAACTATTCAGGTTTCACAGCTTAAATAAAAAATACACTTCTTTTTCATACATTGCTTAAAAAATAGGTTTCTTTTCTTATTAGTGAAATCTCTACATACGCAGAAGTCTTTTCTATGTAGGTAGTTTATTACCAAATACTCACTTGGCCAATTTTGAGTTTTTTTTTTTTTTTTGTATAAATGTAAATGGAATAGTAACCCCGTCTGCGCTATCGGTATATACTGGCGTGGCACTATTAAGGGATAATAAGTAAATATAAAGCAGGTCAGTTAGCCCATCGTGACAAATCCACCTTTGTGAAACACACAAATTCACCACTGTGACAAGGAACCTTTTGATCGTTAATAAAATTTCCCTTCTGTCTTCCTGTACTTAATATAAGTTAGATAAACATTCCTTGCTGTAAATTTTTATAAGTGTGCTAAAACTGCATGCTGCATGGGAAATTTTGTCCGGTCTAACTGTCCATCGTCTGTATAGATTCTAATGAATTCTTAGTAAGCAATTTACAGTCTCATGTTTACTAAGTCATTTTATAAATAATTAGATTTAGGTCAATTATAGCTAAATATTTAATGTCATAACCACTGATAAATATTTCATTCATCAAGTCTCTATCATCCAGAATTTTTTATTAAGTTGTTTATTCGGTCTATAGTGAGTGTGATTGCTCCTTGGTGTCATTTTATCAAAAATGAAAAATAAGTAGGTACACCATTAATAATTATTTGAAGAAACATATTGTAAAATAGAGATAAATCTAACTTAAATCATTTAATTTCCTAATTTACCTTAAATCCTTAAATAAGGTATAATGTGTTAGGATATATTTTTAATTTTAATTTTTAATGACTTTTAAAGAGAGAACTTTTGATATTTTATATTTATATTCACAAGAGGTACGGTTTACTCTATTAACTCATATAAATTTTATCGTGAATGAAATAGCGGATTTTTGTAATTTATTTTGAATTTTCAATTTCATTGATTTTGCTTTGTTCTTACACAAATCTCTATGTACAATAAAAAAATTTAGTGTTTTAACTCTTATGTAGATATTTAAATTACGTACCTGTAACTTTGGTAACAATACAATATCTAATAACTCTATCATACAGCTGGTCTGATAATACAGATTTTTTATAAATATATGTAGCTATATTTTAAACTTAACGCGATGAAAATTTTTGCTGATAAATAGTACCTACCTATATACCTGCTACCGATATTTCTACGTTGTTTGCACCATGACGTGGTCATAACAGGACGACAGTCCTGTGTATTTAAAATATATGTAAACAATGCGAATTTTTTAAATTAACTATATGTAGTTGATTTTTAAGTATAATTATTAAATTTAAGGAATAACATTGGAAGCACGCTAGTACTAGGTACACCTAAGTACTAACTTGGCAACAACAATTTCTACATTCAAGTAATTTTTTTATATTTGTTTGTTATTAGCAATTATTATTATTAATTGATAAGATACTTGTATTGTTATTTAGTATAATAATATTAAGTAATGTGTAAGTGAAGATATACCTACTTTGCTACCTAAGGACGTGTAAAACGAGTGTGCTTGTAATAAATTAAATTCTAAATAATATTTTGATTCTTATTTTTTAAACATAAGTAGTTGCCTAGATATATATTTCCTATATCCGCTGGCGAGGCACCAGTGACGGACGATAGGTAAGAATGAAAAGACTAATACATTTGAAATTCAGCATGATGGTTTCCAGGGGAGCCACGTAGAGGTCGACCTGATGAAATCACATTTAGGAAAAACTATTTTATTTATATATTTTTTTTATAAATTTAAAATTAGCCCCTATATTGGTAGGTATGATAAAAATGGGTGAGTAATTCATAAAAGTAAACTTAATTCTTAAATCGCTCTGCAGAGACAGCACCAGCAATCGGCCATTAATTGCTTTTTAATTACAAACATATAAAAATGAAGAATGTCAACAAATATTGTGCAATTTTGGTTATCGCAATTACTTACCTATTTACTGTTATTTATGATCAAAGATTTCGGTTTGTTCATTTGCTGTTCATGCATTCATTCATCTTTTATCAGTCAGTCAAAATGAATCAGTCAAACAATCAACTGTCAAGTCACTTTGACATTCGTGAATCGACAAGAATTGTCCGGCTAAGTTTGATATTATTCTGTAATATTTTATTTTTACAAAACGATACTAATTTCATAAGTTATTATTTAATAACTTAATCATGGTACGTATAAAAATACTAAAAAATGAACAAAACTGTTGTTTTTGCTTGGTTATAGGTTATCATGTTCTTGCTTGGTCATTGGAATTCATAACATTGTATTTTTTTATTCTAACAGGCTCGTCGTTATGATACACGTACAACAATATTTTCGCCGGAAGGTATTTAATTCTAAATATTATTCTAACCTTTTATATATTGTACTATACCCGAGGTATATTACATTTTGTAACCTTTTTTTAGGTCGGCTTTATCAAGTTGAATATGCAATGGAAGCTATAAGCCATGCAGGTACATCCCTGGGCATTCTGGCTACTGACGGTATATTATTAGCAGCGGAACGTAGAAATACTAATAAGCTCTTGGATGAAGTTTTCTTTTCGGAGAAGATTTACAAGTTGAATGATGATATGGTGTGCTCTGTCGCTGGAATAACGTCAGACGCTAATGTTCTTACAAACGAGCTCAGATTGATCGCACAAAGGTACTTGCTACAGTATGGAGAATCAATTCCTTGTGAACAACTGGTATCCTGGCTTTGTGATGTCAAGCAGGCCTACACACAATATGGAGGTAAGCTTGAATTAAATATTACACAGTAAGGTAAAAGGCCAAGGCATTTCTATTTAAGGCAATCCTTTTCAAGGTCACTAAGGAAACTTAATGGTCATGATTTGGGCAGCAGTATCCTTTTTAAAAAATCACCAAAGTCTAACTGTGGTTGCCAACCTGCCTGCCCAGCTTGAAAACTACTGACAAAGCCCCCAATAGGGGGAGACCTATGGTCAGCTGTGAACAGTTAATAGTTGACATAATGATGAAGATGAAGGCATTATAATTTTGATTATATTAAAAGTGATAAATAATATTAATTACCACAATTAAATCTAAAGTATTAATTTGTTAACTGTTAAATATCTAAAAAGGTTTGGCCATTAAATGGCTGAACAGGTTTTAATGAAATTTGTTATATAGAGAGGCCATCATGTGAATTAACCGAGTAAATACTTGTTCCAATATACACAAGCTAAGCTGCAGTAAATAAGTATAAAATAAGTATTATTGTAATAGGAAAACGTCCATTTGGTGTCTCAATTCTCTACATGGGATGGGACAAACACTATGGCTACCAACTCTACCAGTCCGATCCTAGTGGAAACTATGGTGGCTGGAAAGCCACCTGTATTGGAAACAATAGTGCAGTAAGTAATTTTTTTTTTTATTTTGTTGCCTTAAGTTTAAATTTAGAATTTTTTTACCTTAACCTATATAGACTTGTGTAATAGCAGAAGGACAATGAAAACTGAAGAAACAATCTTTTGTGAAACTATATAAACATTAAATGAAATTATCATTTTTACCTTTCTTTATAAGTTTATAGTTAAACATGCTTATTACTGCACTGTATATACCAATTTTAATATGTATATATTGGTATATTTATGCCAATAAACTTTTTAATTAATAAAATTATTTAAAAAATTTCATTGACCATATAACAATATGGTGTAAAAGGTTGACTTAATGCTAATAGCATCCTCCCTCAGTCTCATCTTTAGAATAAACTGTGATTTGCTACTACTACAATAAATATTTGAAATATTTTAAATAATCTTATTCTCAACAACTGTTGACAAGAAATTCCTGCTAATAATAATAATATTAAGATTTCAACTTATGGAAGGTTTATAATAAATACATAATATGTTACCTGAATACCTTATTTTACACCATAACATTATGATAGAAGGAATTTATGATAAATATTGGTGTAATCATCTATAAGCAATTATTATAGAAAATAATAGTGATATAAATCAAAAAATGATATTATAGTATCTAAGTATGTACCATTTGTTCCATAATTTTACTCACCTGTAATTTTCAGGCAGCTGTATCAAGTCTGAAACAAGAGTATAAAGAGAATGAGACAACATTAGCTGAAGCACAAGCCTTGGCTATCAAAGTACTGAGCAAAACCCTTGACATGACTAAACTAACTCCTGAGAAAGGTATCTCTCATTAATAATTTAATGTTACACATTCTCACTATGTCCTATACTACTTTTATAATTGGCAATATAAACAATCTTGATATGACTTTTCATAGTAATTAGTGTTTTATGCACTTTTATATCGCTAATCATAAATAACTAAAATAAAAAAAAAAATATATATATATATATATATATATATATATATATATATATATTTACAGTGATCATGATTATAAAATTTAGAGATTAATTGTCTAAATATTATTTAAAATACTGTTACAAGTGATACTAGTAATAATATTCATTATAAATAAAATTAAAAGAAAAATGCCAATTAACATAATATTTATCGATTGAATTTATTTCACATTAATAATTTTTTTTAGTGGAAATGGCAACATTGACTCGAAAAGATAACAAGACTATAATACGAGTACTCACTAGTACTGAAGTGGAAAAACTAATTGCGGACTTTGAAAAGAGTGAGGCTGCAGCAGAAGCCGCTAAGAAGCAACCACCCAAATCCTAATTTTTGTATATTTTTATTTGTAATAAGTATTCTTTTTTGTCACAGTAAAACATTTTAAAATAAAGCACTATTTTATTTCACATAATATAATTAATTATAATCATTAACTTACCAATCTAACTTATTATTAAAAACAATATTTTTTTATAACATTAGTTGGTTAATGGTTCTTATTGCAATGCTTACCTCGCCTACACAATACAGAATTTTCTAAAAAACTATTTTATTGGTATACGCTGGCGAAATAGAATTTGGAACAATATTTAAAAAGTACTATTATAATTATTTAGTATTTTTTTAATACAATCAACAGATATTTTGTAAAACAAAATATTGCCTGTTTCGTTAATATATTTAAATACTCATAGGTTGAAAATAGTTCGTTTTCATAGACTAAGAGTAATACTTTGTCTATGAGAAATTTACCGTCAATGTCCAGTTTTGACGTGGTCTTGCTTGACATCGACTGATTGTAGTCTTATGTGTATACTTTGTACATTGTAACATGATGAACAACAATTAATAATAAACAGCTAACTTTTATTTTATATATTGACTTATAACTGTTTCCTCAGAGGAATAAAAATTTTAATAATTAAAATCAGCCAGTATTGTTGAATAAGATATAATAGATAGATAGAATATACCCTTTGGCCGTAATTTTAATAAAATTAATTGCTTCTACAATTTTAGTAAAACGTCAGTCGTATCATACTATCATGCATGGAGTATAGTATTATCTATCTATACATATTATATTTATATATCTCAAGTTAGACATAGTCTCATCTGTGATACCTATTTATTCTAGTTTATTATTGAATCAAAACTGAATACTTGTTTATTTAATTTAATATTATTCTAATTAAAACATAGTGACTTGCTAAGTATTCTTAGTAAGCAGCAGTTGTTTCAAATATATTTAGTTCTATAGACATGGCAGTCGAAAAAATGAAAGCGACTGCTGTTACAATACCTAAAAAATCACGAGTAGAAATGAACGTAAGGCAGCTGTTAAATAAATGTGAAATCATTGCTAAACAGGAGTCTGTTGATGGTAATTGGAGGCTTAGGAAGTACGTAGAATCATTAAATGAAATGTTAACTGAACTGAAAACAAGTCCGGAGTAAGTACTTTTTTTATTCTTACAAATGTAATAAAATTGTAACTAGGCGCTTCTTGAGAAAAAAAAATATTGAGAGGTTTTGATAAGAGCAATACAAGCCAAAACAATAAAAACAAATTTTATATTCTTTTCTGTCTGTATGTTTGTTTCGACATCAGGCAAAAACTACTACATTTAGTTCCATCTAGTTTTCACGGTTACATTCCTGCAGGTATAACTTAAAAATTGGTGTATGTTTTATAGAACTGGTTTGTTTCATCGATTTTTCTGCTTTTAAAATTCATGTATATGAAGTAACATGCATTAAGTCAGTATTGAAATAAAAACAAAATATTTATCTTTCTGCATATTACTTATTTCAGAAAGCCATCCAAAGAAGAGCTAGCTGGATATACAAAGCGGATAGGTTTTCTAAAAGGAATAATACAGACCGCTACATTACATAGCCCAATTGAAAAGGTGTTGTTATTAGAAATTTTTTTTTTTAATATGTTCTAGGACATATCTATATACATGCACAATGGGAACTTTATGAATTTACTGTTTGTTATTTCCAACTATTTATTTATTCTTTATCCACCACATTATAAAAAATTGTTTGAGACAAATGGTTCATTAGTATTGTTTCGACTTTATCTAGAAGTCTTTATCAGGCTGTATATTGTCTCACACTTTGTATCACAGCATCATGTCTTGCACTACAGGCTGCAGCTCACACAGTCTGAAGATGTAAGATAACAACAGCAAGAAACAATGGTGCTGTTGGTGTTGAGTGGTTGTATCCAGTGTAGTTGTAATTGTCTATGAAAGACTCACATAAAATTCCCATTGTACATGTATGTAAACATTAAAAAATTAACAAAAGTTATAAAAGTAGTATTTGGGACTAGCTAGTATATTCAGTGTAGAACTCACCAAATTGTTAATATATTGTTTTGTTTACTCTTCATTAATAAACTAGCAAGTAGGCTGAAATCCTAGTTGATTTATATTCCCAAATTTTATAATTCATAAGATAAACTTTCATCACTATTTGTGTAAGTAGTGATGAAAGCATAGTACAATTATGGAGAGATCAGGCAATAATGTCATAAAGTATTTTAAAAATAAAAGAATTTATGTCCATAGACATAAATAGCTCCTTGGTACACCTCATGCTTTACTACTCCTAAGAACTAAAATATATAATTATATAATTTCACTGCCGTGTTCCATCATTCAGTGGAAATAATGACAAAAACATGATTAGGACAGAGACACCAGGACAGTTATGTTTTTAAATCAATAATATAGAAATACTTAAGAAGGATTATAACCATAATCCTTCTTAAGTATTTCTATTTTAAAAATCATTGTTAATTAATAAACACAACTTTGCAGTTGGAAGCAGTACAGCAATTATCGCATGGTGCGGCGACAATGTGTGTTGATGCATTAGCTCAAGAGATACATCAGAAAACTGTAGTCAAGTATGGTGTGGAGTTGCGCTCAGAGTTGTTTGGGCCAGGTATGATTTCTATCATGTTTATTATGATTTATTAAGTGTGTAAATATGAATTTTTATCCTATCTTATTAATATAATAAATGTGAAAATTTGCAACAGCTAATGGATGTTTATTACTCTTTTACGCTTAAACTACTGAACTGATTTGAATGAAATTTAGTACATAGATAGGTTATATTCTAATTTAGTACATAGTATGTTTTATATTGAATTACAGGGTAGCAGCCTTGGGATATAACTATTTCTAAAATATACAAAATATATGCACATGTATATAAATATAGAGTATAGATTATTAGTTTTATTTAATATCTACATCATTAAATAATAATAAATAATAATAAATATTCTTTCTCCACAATTTCTAATAATATCTTAATGTAACTGATTATTAAAAAAACAATGAGCAACCTTATCACTATGAGCAATATTTACAATCATGAATATTGCTAATCATATACATGTATACTTATATCAAAATTCAAACCCTATGGATAAATATACATTACATACATTAACAAACTACATAACTTGGTGTAGTTACATACAAATACTAAATAAATTAAAGACTCTGTATAGAACTTATTAATTAATGCATTTATGAAAATTTTGTATTACAATTGTTTGAAAAGTACAAATGCTGTTTCCAAAACATATTGTAATATATTTTTTCTCAATAATTAATTCTCAGATGATACAGACGAGACATTACGGAAACGCAACATTATCAAAGCACCAAACTTCACAAGCAATAGCAGTAGCCAGGAGGATATTGACTCCATCCTGAAGTATCATCAAAATATGCAAGAGAAAGTTGCAGAGAATATGGTGATGCTGACAAAGAATTTGAAGGAGCAGTCGCAAATAGCAAGCACCATAATTAGGGGAGATACCGAGGTACAATACTGTCTAATGAATTTTTTTGTAGTGTAGTGATTTATGACATAAAGGAGGAGAGCTCTGCCTATCCACGTTTTTCTATACAAAAATTATAAAGAGTGAAAATTTGATTGTTTATTTGTAATGGATAAAATCAAAACTTCTCAACAAGTTTTAAAAATGTTTTTATCTAAGTTACATTTTCAGTAAGTAAGATAGGCTATATATATATATATATATATATATATATATATATATATATATATATATATATATATATATATATATTCTAAATACACAATGTGAAGCCTGGCCGGATCAGATCAGATCGGATCGGATTGGATATAATATCCACACTATAAATATTGTCAGAGGGAGACTTTGTACAAAAGTCGATTGCTTCGGTACCTCTGTCCCATTCGTGTTTCAACCGTGAAGCAGCTGTGTTTGCATGGCTGTGTTTCGGTTTGAAGGGTGGGATATGGCGTGGCGTCTAGAAAGTCAAATAGAAAATAGGAAATTTAAAAAAAGTTTAATAACTAAAATCAGTCCTTTGACTATATATACGTAAATTTTTTTTATTTATTTTTTTTATTATTTTTGATAGGTAGATAAGACAAAACCTAGTACATTAAAATTTATGTTAGGTTTATTGGAGATTTTATTTTATTGATATTGTGGTTTAATGTCTATAATTTTACAATGTGTTAACAGGCATTGAAGAATGCGTCTGACTTGACAGACCGCAATCTGATGTCACTAAAGAATGAATCGGAGCGGTTGAGTGAACACAGTCGCAGTGCTTGGAAGTGCTGGCTCTGGATCATGCTGGCTGTAGTTATGGTTATATTTATTAGTGAGTATACTAAACCTTGTCAATGAATCGAATTTTATTATCATTTATATCTTTTTTAACCCTTCTTTGTTAACCCTTCAATTGCCTTGGATGAGAACTGTCTAGGATATTTTCCTTGTACACGGCAATTTTTCTTGTGGCTTACAAAGCAATCGCTGTTAGTTTTTGCCGAAACAAATAATCTTTTTGTATGAAGTATAAATATTTTGAATTATTCGATCTTAGAAATCTGCGAGTCTCAGACTTTAATGAAAAGTATATATACTGTTCTATTACCAATTTAAATTGGCGGTCTGTAGAGAGTGGTTTTAGCAATTTGTATTTAGTTAAATATCATAAAATATTACAATGAATATAGATATACCTATATAGTATATACCTGCTTATGAATAAAATTTTATTTGTTGCAGATATGGTGCTCTTTATGAAAGTTATGAAAAAAAGAAAATATGACACTAATTAAGGTAGGTAACATTCTTTGTATTGTAAGTTAAAACAATTAATTTATTTATATATCTTAAATGTCATTGTATGTAACAACCATCTAAAATGTCGTGCAATAAACATTAAAATGTAAAAGTTTTTTTTAATTCTAATTTTAATTAACTTAAACGGTACAAAATACCGTAAACCTGTCTGTCTTCGTATAGGCGCTTGCCATTCGTTACTAATTTTCATACAATACCAAAAAGTGTCTGGACATATAAGCTACTAAGTGTCATAATCATTTGTCATCATTGCTGAATATAAACTCTCCTTTTTGGGGAGTTTGTCAAAATTTGTCACGCTTACCAAGCGAGTTGTCACCAGCAGTTAAGGTTTAATGATGTTTTAAGAGGAACGCTGCGGCCTATCCCTCGATCATTAAGTTCCCTTAATCGCCTCTTACGACACCCACTGGAAAGGAAGTGCTGGTCTATTCTATGCCGGGACCATACAGCGAAGGTAAAAGGTATAATAGCTGAGTATAATAGTCTGCAGTTGTCTACCGTGAAACATCACTGCGTTATTTTTCAATATGAATGATAGCGAAATTAGTCCCAGGAGAGATTTATTAATGAAATTAGTCTTCGGAGAGTTTTATTAATAGCTCAGTCTACAAAAATGGTAAAGCATCAAAAGCTGCGTGTAGCACTGCAAATGTATTTTTCACACCTATGTTGTTATAAGTAAACTGATAAACTCTTTCAATCTGATGGGCCGTTAATAATTGTATATTCCCAGTATTAAAAATAAAGCCTCTATCTATTATTTAAATATATATCGCAGTATAAATTATTCTTATGACAACAGTCACGGCCGAATTAACCATGTCGGGGCCTCTAGGCAAGGTAAGGACGTCACGTTCACAAAAATCTGCTATAATATAAATAACTTGAAATGCGTCAAAAAGAAAAGACAATAATATTTTCATTGAAGGTTTGTTAGAAACAAATATTCAAATGCAATATTCTCTTAAGGAAACATCTTTAGTTGATAGGGGTCCCTATACTGTTGCCTACACTGGCTAATGGATAATACGGTCCTGGTAACAGTTTTGATTAGGTCCTCTGTCACATTCGTGTTTCAGCCGTGAAGCAGTTGTGTTTACATGTATGTAACATAAAGAGTGGAATATGGCAGTGAAATACTCTGTTATATCCATGGTATTGTTCATGTCTATAGGCAACGGTTACCATTTTCCATCAGGTGGACCGTCAGCTTGTTTACCATTCTAAGTTTCATAAAAAAAATGACAGCTGAGAACACACCGTGTGTTCAATTCCCGCAATAGTCTGAGTGTTTTCTAATTATAATATATATGTATTACACAATATTTACATGATGAATGTTTTGCTTAGTTTGTATGATTAGTAGCTTTGCTAGATGGCGCTGTGTAACATTTTCAAGAATACATATTTGATGTTTGCACAAAAAGAAAATCTTACACTAAAGTATTTCTAAGAGGATTGAATGAAAGAGCGTTACTAAATAATATTTTTATTATCTTGCTTTCTACAGAATTCATATGAGTTCTAAGAGGTTTTGCCAGAACGTACCAAATCAATTTTTGGTCCATATTTATTTAAGTATATTGCACAACTACTTGCAACTATACATTTTAGAATTTAGAACTAATAATAAATGTATGAAAATAGTATCTTAGTACGATTAAATCATGTTAATTTTACTGTCAAGTGTCGTTGTCATTTCGGAATTTACTACATGACAGCTAATAGTTAATAATTGGCTACTATTCATATAATTAACTAATAGGAAAAAAAATAACGAAATATTGTTCTAATAAAACATCTCCCCTTTGTTTATGAATATATTTCTCCAAAGTGTGTGCGTGATTATATTGGACCATTCTTCCAATATTTAGTCCCATCTTATGGACGATGTTTAAGGTAGCGTAAGCCTATAAGGTAAGAACCTTTATATAATTTAATGACTTATTTATCTTAGATAAAGTACTATTTATTAATGTAGGTATAAGTAATATATCAATTTATTATACCGTTTTGTATCTGTTGTGATAATTTTTTTATATCACTTGCATCTCAAAGAATTAAACAATTTATTTCATATATATACTTACAGTTTGCAGAAGGTGCAAAACAAGTATTTATGAAATCTCTTAATCAAATCTTTAAAATATTGAAAAGTTTATCTATTTAATGCATGCCTGCATATAGATCAAAGATATTTAATGTTTCTGACGTATGTAGACGATGAATAGGAATTATTTAATTAAAACTGATACCGTAATTTAATTGATAACGATATAATAAACTTTCGACTAATATCAATTTAAAACAATTGCAATTTATTAACAGGCTCTATTACGTATTCAAAATTTAGTTTACCACAATTTATATATGTATTACAAACAGATATAGTACTATAATAATTTATTTTATACGTGTCACTGATTTATATAATTACATTTCCAACATTTTAATTGGCCTTCAAAGCGAATTTGATTCGCATCCATAATAAAAGCATTTCTCTATTATCATATTACGTAAAGCTCTATTTGGTTGGAATTTTTCTATGAATATTTACTCTACTTCTTATCATATACGTCTGTCAATTCAAACTTCCAGATTTTGTTTGGTCCTATCTCTGTAACGTACAGATGAGATCCGTTCCTTGTTACAGCCAACGAATGTGGGTTGGTGAAGCCCTGTAAAAAAAAGTTTCGGTACCTGATTTTAATTTTTTATATATAAAATTTATAACTATATATTTTTAATGAGTAATGTACGTACCAAAGTAAAGTTGAATAAATAAAAATAAATGTTTCTACTGCCAAACAACTGCTGGTATGGTTGTTTCAGTTTGAAGTGTATGGTAAAGTAGGGAACAAATGTAGCAGTAAAATTACATGTTAAGGTTTAGTCCTTAGAAATGGCAACACATATGAATTACGGTACATTCTGTGTAGTTATCGTTGACGAAAACTTAGAGACTTCCTTTATACGATAACTACATTAATTCTATTTAGCTATTGTATCACGACATTACAAATCTAGTGATATCGTGTCGTGGAATAGTTAATTATAAAAAAGTGCCTATAGTCCGCACGCTAAAGCATTCTCAACAGTAACAACAACGCATAATATTATTTTTAATAATAATACGAAGTGACTTTATATACTTGTCACTTTTCTAATTTGATCGTTATGAAATTGCTATACGGGATAGGATGTACTGTATGGGATGTAAAAGGGCACAGAAATTTTAAACTAGTCAATGATATATAATAAAATTAAAAATTTATATATATATTCACGACTGTAAACCCTAATGGTATAGTCAAAAGTATTTATCGACTGTTTCCGTTGCAGTGAATGTAATACGAGCATAGCAAGATGTTTATATTTCTAGCCTATTACAATTCAAATAGATGGAATTGAATGAAGTTGGTGTATTAACGATTTTGGTGTCGACCATATTTGAACTCACAAATATAATATCTGCATTAAAGATCAATCATACTCACAGTGCTCGGCTCCCAAGTATCCAAAATATTTCCGTAAACTGCATTCACTGTGAATCCTCTGACTGCGATGTTCTGAGCCGTCGGCCCGTTGACTGCATAGATCGTATCACCGTGAGACGTGACAGCAAACACGCGACCCAAAGTCGGATCCTGTATGACCATTGCAGGCTCCAGAATCTTAATGTAACTCTTCAATCCAGCCTTAGGGCAAACAATCCTCATATTCTCTCTATCAGCCACACATACAATGTCTAAATGTTCCAATAAAGTTACGCTGTGTGGAAGATTCAGGGTTAAAGTATCAGAATAAGATGGAATCGCCAACAACAATGTTCCCGCAGCATTGAACTTTAGAATCTGGTTATTACAATAGCCGTCAGCTACAAATATCTCCCCGGTGGTCGCGACGGCTACGGATGTAGGCATGCAAAGAAGCACTCGACGCCTGTATGGATAGCCAGCGGTAAAGGCTTCACCAATCGTCAAACTTGGGTATTTGTGGTTGTTGGGTATATACTGGAAGTATACAAATCATCATTATTAATATAGATCTATAATTTCAATGCTGGCTTCGAAATGTTGTTATCTGCTAAGAAGCACAAATATATATTTACTTAAAAGAAAAAATTGCTTCTTAAAAATGTTAGGCGTTAACATATCTAAAATGAAATCTAAATCATTAACATAATTTCAGGCTAGATTCTCCTAGTGAAATTGAACGTTTAATAATAAACAAGAGTTATTATTGTGTTCTCTTTAATTCATACGTAATTAGCAAAAAATAAGTTTAACGCCGGGTAAAGTATAGCCCCCTGATTTACCTATATAGTAAGTAAAATATATATACCTATGTATTGCAAAAATTAAAACCAATTCTTAAAAAATCCTAACTTTTAGAAACCACTCATTTCTATTTTCTTTACTGCAGCTACTTACTAACATAAAAATAAATTCTTAAGGTACTATCTTGTTCGTGACACATCCTAACTACTCGTAAAATCAGTTAATGTGTACAGTTAACGGACACAACACGCATACCTCTTCAGATAGTTATCATCCGTTAGCAGATTAACTAACTGCAGTCGAATAAAACTAACTATTGAAATGTTATTGTAGAAATTAATAACTACTTAGTACACGTATATATTAACATACGTAGAAGCCCAAATTTTAAATTCTAAATCTGAATTAACGAAGCTGTTACAATCTAATGGTTGATGCATAAAATTAGTTTCAGTAATATTAAAAGTAGAAAAGTAGTATGTCGAACATTATTAAAATTACGCCCTCGTCGATATCGAAGCTTTTACGGCATTAATTTCACTTCACATGATGAAATCAGTTACATGACTCTAAATTTATATAAACATGGCGCGGAGCACGTAATTCTTGGTTTCGGGAAACTAATTCATGCATTATAAAATTAAAAGTTTACACCTAAAACTTATTCAATCCTCTACTTTCTTAATTTGAATTGGTCTTTATTATTATCTAGTATTGCTTATTTATTTTAATTGTTCAATTTATGTTGTAAAAATATTATGTTTATTACCTTGAATACTTGATGTTTTGCTACATCAGTCACCCATACATTGTCATGGTGGTCAACGGTTAAACCATGTGGCATGTAGAATGCATATGCACCCCAACTATGAAGCACTGAACCAGTGTTGGGATCAAGAACCAGAATGGTATCCTCGATTATAGGTCCTTTATCCAGATTTTGGTAGACGTTTGATTCATTAAATGTACTGCAAAAATATAATTACCAAAATTGATCACAATATTTTTAAAGCTTTACTTTTCAAGTCTGTTCTCCAAATTAATTTTTATTACAGCGAATACTTTAATCAGGCAATAGTATTCGTATTGAAATTTGGTGAATTGGTATTAAAAAAGCTTCAAAATCAAAATATATATAGTTGTCAAATTTTTTATAGTAGCTAGTTTTATGAAAATCTTCTTCTATGTACGAGTACAATTAATGTTTTTGATCAACGGAAAATATTTTTTTAAAAAATCATATATCATCACATTGAAAATATTTTTAAAAATTAATGCATATCAGATAGCTACTACAGAGACTTTGCTGGACTCTGTATCAAAACGCTGTTAAATTCAAATACTTTGACATTCTGTATTTGTAAATATTTAAGTTACCTTTCATCCCATACTCTTTCCGCTCTGTGAAAAATCACAGGTTGTCCCAGAGAATTGATTGACACGGCGGTAATTTGTCCCACATTCAAAGATTGTTGGGGCCAATCTTTCACTTCTTGAGGTCTCAATACTATTTCATCCTTTGGCTAAAATGTGAAGTTATTAATTTTGTTAGTTGTTACATAAACGTTTATTGCAAAGAATTCATATTACATACCAAATGGAGGTCCAAATTCTTCAGTAAGTCATCATTAGAGCCATAGCTGAAGTAGTCGAAATTATCACGCACAGTTTCTGGTTCACAATTAATTACAGCAAAGGCTGAGACAAATAGTAGTATCGGCAACATTTTGAGATATTTGTTGTTATGTGACTATTGTTGAAATGTGTCTGCTATGTGGCAGATCAGTATTGATTGCTGGTACTTGACTGTATAAAGTACGCATGCGCTTTCCAGCAACATCAGCACGCAGCGTCTGTCTTCCCAAGGTCGATTTTAGGAAAGCCATTTATGACTAATGAAAACCAGATTACGTAAACATATTTTTATTTAGACATTTCACAAGTCTTCAGTAAAATGACGAAGAGAACACGATGTATTTACAATTTGAACAGGAACAAATCAATATTATTTTAGGTTACATAATTACGAAAATATAAGACGAAATTTCATTTCTTTTAGTATTGGATCAGTCTCAAATTAGAATCGTTGTTAACTTGGCACAATCACAGGCTTATATATGTTTACAATCCTTGTTATTCCTGATGAACTAGAACTGTACACCTCATAACACCTAACTGGTTGAGATTCACTGTCCACGCCATTCAGAATTTGGCTGATCCCAAATGTATCCCGTCTCTGTCATGGAACACACCGCGTTGTAGTATCTGCCTGGACTCCGACAGTAAGACCAGGAGGGGCATTTGCATCTGAACAGTATTTGAAATTCTTCTTTACAAACTTCATTCCACCAGCACGTCCTCTGCAATATAAACATACCTTATATTCACCCCGTTTGTCATGAGTTAGATCAATTGTTATTTTTTCTTCAATTTATTATTATTAATAATAACATTTTTAAAACTGTTAAACTATTTTATTTTCATGTCATTATTATTTACCTCAGTAATATAACCCCTCACAGATTGGTCCGAATAGCTTCTTTTCACAACGGATTCCGTTTCCAGCATAGCACTCAACATAATAATACATACAAACGTTACATATTGTGTCTGAAACGTAAATATTTTTCCACTATAACACAAACACGCGTAAAATGAACGCACACACTTCCATAAGTCATTCTTACCTTAATCATAGCAGATATCTGGTCTAAAAATAGAAAATTGACGGCCAACGTAACCTTTCATTTCACGCCCTGTATGGGAGCTTTTAAAGCTTTGCTGTGTAGTCGTAACGCTGCGAAGTTATTCACATGTGCCCAAAAAAATGTACACAAGAATGAAATTTAAAACATAAATAATATGTAAGCGTACTTAGTAAATATATCCAACGTTGTTTTTTGTAATAAAAAAATCTGTTCTATATAATAAATTTCTTATTTATTATATCAGAATGAAATTTCTTTCAATAATAATTACATGTATAAATATATTTATCTATAGATTAATAAAATGTATTGTTCTGAAAAAAAAATCACTATATAACTACACAATAAAGCTTAAATCCACGTCACTATCACGAGTAACTTTATCTCGTGTTCAGTCTATTCTGTGCTTTATTGTTGCGTAATAAGATAAACTTTTTAATGAATATCACTTTGTGAATGATAAATAATACAAACTTGGTGTCATATTAACGATTTTAATGTCTTAACAATTACATTTAAAAAAATCACTAGCTACATAGGACTTTCGTGATATTCTTATTCTTAAAGTAATACTAACAATAAATAGAGTTGAATAAGTACAAACGTAAAAAAAATATTTAAAAGTAATAATAAGAATTCTATTCAAACTAAGGTATAGATATTATTTTTTACAATGGCGCAAATCGAAACACTTCCAAAAAGATTGCATAAAAATAAATAGATATGTAAACCTTTCAAAGTACTCCAAATATACACAGCAATAGTACAAATTTAACTACTAAACAGATAAAATGGCACTAGATATAAATAATAAATAACAAATATAATTTACAGTCAACTTTGGTCGGACACTACCACTACATTTGGGATACTGCTTACAGGACATCTACAGAGGAATTGCTAATTTTCTACATAGCTTTCATTTGATCTATATTGTTATCATCAATTTCTGTTTGTTCCTGTCTCCTGTGCATGTCTTCTGCGTCTTTCCTGCAAATTATACATTAAGTTATTTATACACCCATTTAGTTTTTCATACACAAGCTCAGAAAATAAGAAGACTTCGTCACTCTATCCCGTACTTTCACGGAATGACCACTCAAGATCTTTCTTATATACCCTATAGGAATAAATTAAACACCGGAAATATCTTCTATAAATAAACTACCTATATCATACATAAGTTATGTATCTAGTTATTTTAACAACGGAAATTTAATTAACGTTTGAAAATGAATAAAATAAATGTGGTCTTATTTATATTATGATTGTTGAAAACTGGAGTAAAAATAATTTGAATATGTAGGTACTTTTCCGGAAGAACACACACATGCATATAGTAAAGCAGTAAATTTGATTTGACGTGAAATAATAATTTAAACAACCTTTGACGTTGTGTTTTCATTATTTAATTACGTTCATATCATAAACTCTTTCATCTTTATTGAATCCATATACAATTTTATGTAATGAAATTTGTTCTTCGTGTTTAATGCAAAATTGATCACTTACGAATACTTATTTGGGGATGCTTGGAATATACTCTTGGGGCAAAGTCGGAAGTAAGGCCAACATTCACCTCCCGCTTCGCTCCCTGCCTTCTCGGCTTCCACGTACTCCTTCAGTAGATGCGCGTAGGGAGATTTACTTGGACTGCAAATATTCAAATTCATTACAATGTTGTGACCGCTATTATTGCCACTCATTGCCAATATCTTTCAAACAATAATTTCATTTATAGTAATTTTAATTCTGAATAACAGTAAGAAAAATAAAATACTTTTTTTTTAATTCCAATCATCTTTATTCAAATAGAATAGCAGGGTTCGGAAAGTTGTTATCTATTAAATTATGAAATGTTTCTGATTCGAAATATTGCAGTAAGCTCATTCAATGCCACTATAAATTCTACTCATAATATTCTTAGCCAAGTGTGAGTAAATCGAATCTTGGAAATATGATAATACAAAGCGGCATAACATTCGTATTTTAAGATTGCAGTAGTAAATGTTTTAAAATCAGAATATAATTTAATTAAAAACGAATTATTTGTTTGTGTACTTACGTAAAAAACAATTTCATGATTTCTCCAAGAAAACCAAAGTTGGTAAGGGGATGCGCTTGCACCTCACATATCACCCGTAATAAGCATTCTTTACCGGATAGCCCGAAGTTTGCTAAGAGGTCTTCGGCCACCCCGTATAATAGAGCTCTGAAAACATACTATAATCAATATGCATAGTAATAAAATTTGAGGTTTTGTGTCACAAAAAGTAAATATTTTTGTATATTTTTTTTATGATTAAAAACTCCGAGATTTATTACACAATTAAAATAATAATTTATTCACTTAATAATTTCATTTAATATTTTATAATTCTAATAATGATTTTTCAACCGTTTAATAAATTATTAGATTTTCATATTTTAATAATACTTATTATTATTATTATTTATTCATTAGTACAAATATGTGTACATGGCGGACTTAATGCTAAAAGCATTCTCTCCCAGTCAACCATAGGGAAGTGTCAGAATACTCGAATGCGGTACTACTAATTATTGATATACATACATACTAACATATATAAACGAATAAATATATATGAATAACAAATATACTTACACATATATGATATATACTATATTATACACGAATTTGGGAGTAATATAAAGCACTTATTAATACTTCTAATTAATAAAGATATTCAACTGACTTCAAAAATTACTACATTTTTAAACCGATTTGGAAAATTCTTTTTTTGTCTGAAAGGATGTGCTTACAGATTAGCCCAAAAAAATTATCGCATTCAGTTCAGTAGTTTAATTTTTAAATCATAATAACTGGTGTTACCACAATTGAAGTCGGTTGTTTTATTTGTGGAACAAAATCGTTAACTATAATCGTGACAAAATTACTATAGGGCCAACACAAGGTTAAACCCTATCAATTGCAAAAATAAATCAATGAAATTAGTATAGAATTTATGAAGTTACTTTATACCAAAATACAAACGAATTGAGAACTTCCTCCTTTTTGAAGTCGATTGACAAATATAATAAACAACAATAATTCGTATTTCACTCGTGTCATTATTTTTCCTAAAGAAACGAGATATTTGCTTATCTTTTCAAGAGAATATCTGCAAGACTATCTCCGCATCTCGCAACTCTGCAAAAACTACGTCTATCCGTTTAAAAGAAGGGCTAATACATGTTTCTGCATTTATATTAAGTGGTTAAGATCATGATAAAATTTTTATGTGTTGTTGTCGGAAATACAGAAAGCAGTAGTATACTACACCAATTTTACATACCTATTTACTGTCTTAACTGTTACTAAACTTAAGCTAAGTAAATCGCCATCATGTTTTCGGATATGAAATAAACAACAGAAATCTGAGTATCTATTATATGAAATATAAATAAATTTTAAAAATCTCAGGTTGCTCAATAAAGCGTAACAGTACTCCACCCCGTGACAAAGACTATTGTTATATAAGTCGCAAGTTCAGCCTTTCATGGAGTACAGTTCTCATGTATGGGTTGGAGCACCTGGATATAAGTTTGGTCATCTTGAATCGGTATAAAGACGGGCTAAGAGAATTGTTGATTAAGAAGTATTGAGCCCTTAAGTCTAAAGCGAGACTTTGCCTCTCTTTGTGTGTTCTACCGCTTGTATAACGGATTGTGTTCTGAGGAATTGTTTGAAATAATGCCTACAGCAACCTTTTATCACCGCATAGCTTGCCATCGACAGGAAACTCATCCTTACACGCTTGAGCCTAAATGATCACAAACAATGCAATTTCAAAGAAATTTTCTTCTACGGACGCTCAGGTTGTGGTATGAGCTCCCTGCCGAGGTTTTTCCCAGAGACTTCAGTATGGGGTTTTTCAAAAAGGTTATATTAAGGTTTCTTCAGGGTCGGCAATGCGCACGTGACATCCCTGGCGTTGCAGGCGTCCCTAGGCTACAGTGACCGTTTACGATCAGACTTGCTGTATACATGTTTGCCACTTTTATGGTATAAAAAAAAATTAGGGAACAGCATTTAATTTTTATTATTTTATCTATATCAGCATTTGTTGCATCTGTCTTCAGACATAGTTCTCCTTCTCATCTCTCAATGCTTGCTAATCCTTTGTCATTTGCATCCACTTTATTATTTATATAAATTAAAAAATCGTCTAATTAATATAATAAAATTATATTAATTATACAATTTTTTTTAAATTTATATATAAAAAATTGTCCAATTAATATATTTAGTGAAATTTTCAATATGATCGGATTGCCTTTCTGACGAGAGAGAGGTTAATTTACGGAGTTTGGAATTTTATACTATACATATACCTTATAGAATTGAATATTACAACTGAAAAGTACTTACAAAAGATGATAAATGGATATCTTTTATCACCAACATTCAAGTTTTGAAAACTTAATAGTTTAAGGTCAATACCTTATTCGTGTTTTCCTAATATTGTGTAACTCTTACTCTTGGTGACGTTCTAGGAATTTAAATCAATTTCCAACGAATAGTTAGTTGTCTTCATGTAACCATAACAAAGCCAAATCGCGAGTCGAATTCCTAATCATTATTGGTATCCACATAACGAGAGTGAAAGTATCAATTCAACATACCTACTGGCTTCTGTCCACGTGGGACAGGTCGGACGATAAAAATGTGTCAATTGCTTTTGTGTCGCCTGGTGTCTCAAGAATTTATTGTCAGTCCCCGTTATTACGAGCTCATTCATTTATGTTACTATTTGTTACGGTTTTCGTGGTTATTACTCCTTTTGACAATTTTATCATGTTTAGAAAATATTTAGTTGCGCTTGAAATTTTTTTCATTATACAATTATGCAGAATTTATTGTAACGTTAAGTGTTTCATTCACCTCAAGTCTCTTATAGAATAGACTCGAAGTATATATACTCCATATACTCGTAGTACCTATTTCATTTTCAAAACATATATAATTTATTATTTTAAGTACCGATGGTGATTTTTTTTTCAATAGGTTTATTATCGTTTTGATCCTTTATTCTTAAAGTCTATTTATGCAGAGCAAAATATTAAATTATATGAGTAAATAATAACACAATAACTTCTTACCTTTCCCCACCATGTAATCTGTCCAACACAACTTTCTCCATATCAGGAGGAACATCTTCAGACCTCTTCCCTCTTCTTCTCTCCAAGTATTGCCCAACGTAATCAGACATCATGGAGACAGCGGCTCGGCCCATCGACCGCGCGAATATTGGAGGAAAATCCCCGTAAGGGTTTTCATTATCAGTTAATCCCAGTTTGTCGAAGTCAACTGTAAATGTTAATAATATAGTAGTTCATAATTACAAAATGTGTAGTCGACACACACACATACAATTTAATAAAAAAAATAGGTCTACATTTAATGAATAGCTAGTAAGTAGTTTAATAGTAATGATATGCTTTGTTTCATTTAATCAAAAGCTGTAAAATGCTAAATATGACGAAAAAAGACATGTTGCACATGTCTTTTTTTTTAAGAACATTTGTCCGCGTATAAATATTTCCTTTGTGTAAACTCTGTACACACACGGAGATAATTTGCGTTGCAGCATGCAATTTTTTCTATCTGTTCTTATTATGATAGCGAAAAATCTATAACCAGAACTACCTTCGTCTGAGTAGGTCTTAATAAAATATCTTTCGTTTTCTTTATGTTGATTAACCTAACCCACTACACCCTCGACCAGCCCAGAGCATATTACTTATATTCGCCTGTATATTTTTGTACGCAAGTTAAACAATAATTTTGCCAATTCAGAACTGATTTTGATAATTATTTTTTTGCAGACTCATAGGTTTGATCTTAATTTTGTCACGATTGAAGCAGTAATTCATTTTTTACAGACCAAATCCTAAACTATGACTTGGCGTGATTTCAGCAAGTTGTCTATGCGTTGATGTTACCCGTATGTTAGTGTAAAACGTTAGTTTCACAAAAAATATTACAGATTTTTCTGTTTAATGATACTATTGGACCCGTAATATATATTCTATTAAATATTGACCTACAGAAATAATTTTACAATTGTTAAAGTATGTATAGGCATTACTTAGTAAAGCTCAAGTTAAAACTTATAAATAATCAAAGTTTAATGAATTTTTAAATACAGTAATTTTAAAATATTTATTGTATTTAAAGTCTACTTCGTTATCCTATTTATTTATATTATTCTACTTAATATCAATACGTAACTAAAAAACTATAAGGTATGTTAATTCGATCGATAGTTAGTTTCTATTACTTATATTCGAAGTACTGACTTTCGAATTCCAGACGATAGTTTAAATTACCTGTAAACCATTTTCATTCGACTAATTATCTAATAACGATAAGGACACAAAAGTAAGTACTGTAATAGTAGAAATTTGGATTAAAGACATTGTTAGTAATTGTGTCTAACAACTCCATCGTTAGCAACATAGGCTAGCAATATATCCTGTTAGGTCAACCTCCACGCGGTTCCCCCTGGAAACTATCGTGATTAATTCTTGTGGACTTCATCACGATGGACTAACTGACGCTTTCATCCTTACTTATGATCTTTTATTGGGGTTTTGATACCGATTACGCAGAGGCAAACTATAAAACTGCTTTCTCCTGAAAATGCTTTTTTATATAAGTATTGAGAATATACCAGAATACTTAACTCTACTACTTTATATAAATTACTGGAAGTGATATTCTCTAATAAACTAACAATCGATTTATTAAAAACAATATACCGTTGTTGTTAACAATATATGAAGTGGTCATCATGGATATCATAGAATTGGACGTATTCAGATAATATAGTATGTGCTACTCTACGAAAATTTTATGGAAACATTGTACTTACCTATTGTACAATAATAGTAATATAAATAACAATATTTCTATTGTAATTCTAATTCTGAATTTATGATTCTATTTTGAATTGCATTTGTTTAATTTTAATTACTTTCAAAGTGCTACTGCGTCCAATTTTAAATATTTAAACGATTAAAATTTTTTTTCCTAAAACATCCAATACTTACTTGTAAAAGGAAAACTAACTGTCATATTTGACAAAAATCCTTTTGGTGGATGTCTGACGAATGGCATCGACAGTGACGGAGTGATGGCCATTGTAGTTCCTGGTGGTAACGCCAATCGCCCGTCATTTGTGATCCAAAGTATCCTTTTCTGTCTTGAATGTGGTATGTTTTCCTTCGCCAACCTCTCCTCATTGTTTGGCGAGGCCATTGGCAGGAGGGCCGCTAGTGCTATGCTGAGTAATACACGCGGTACTGTTGCGTCCATAGCCAACCTGTCAAAGCGAAAATAGAAAATAGAATCATTGCTAGTCCTTACTAATATAAATGTGAAAGTGGGTTTGTTGTTACCTTATAGTGCCTAAATGGCTTAACCAGTCACTATGAAATTTTGTATACACGCAAAATATAGTATGGGATGGGAAAGGATATAGGCTACTTTTTATCCCAGTCACACGTACGAAGTTGTAGGTAAAAGCTTGTATTATGTAAAAGTGAGTTTATTTATTTGTTGGCGCTATAATGCTTGCATGGCGCTTTAATGCTTACCAAATTTTGGTATACACGTACTGTATGGAATGGAGAAGGAAATAGGCTACTTTTTATCCCGTCAAGTATATACCGTCACGCGGTCGAAGTAGCGGGTAAAATCTAATCGTTTTCTAATAAATCAACAAATCCTACTACTATTATAAATGTAAATATTTATGAGGATGTTTGTATGGATGGATATTACTCTTTCACACAAAAACTATTGAACGGATTTAGATAAAAAGGTACATGAGTGAGTTATATGAACATGGGACACTTTATATAATGATTCACGAAGGTGTAAAATACAGCTAGTCATACTATTTATACGAATGAAATTACTACATAGTAAAAATTAATGTCTCCTTTCCGCGTTTGGCTAATATTGTGCCTGTTTATATAAAATCATCTCAGAATCGTAAAATCTTTGATATAGTTTTCGTTAATAAATGAATTTACTCACGCACGAAGCACGTACATATCATAGCATAACACCTTAGTCCTCAGGAATAGCAATGCACAAGGAGTTTCATATTATTGTGTGTAGACGATGGTTCCTCCTTGCATTAGGTAGACCGTCAGCTTATTTGCCATTCTAAGTTGCGTAATAAGACTGGATAATATAGTCCAAGTGATAGTTTAAAATTAGTAACCCGTCGATTACAATGTTTGGTTTATTTCACTATAGTAATGCAGTAGTTCTCTCAATATTATTTAAACCATGCAAAGCCGAGACGGGTAAGTTTACTATTATAAATGTGAAAGTATATTTGTTTGTTACCTCTTGGTGACTTGGTTGGTTGACGGCTCAATCAATCGTTATAAAATTTACTATTATATGTAGTATTTACTATGGAAAAGGACATAAGCCGCGATCACTTTTTTACAATTTATACCGATGACGTGGACGAAATCGCGGTTAAAAACTAGCGTTGAATGAATGAGGTGACGTTATACTCTCACTTTTAATCATAGATCATGGATAGTACCTGCGATTTTTCATTGGCTATTTTTTATTCTTTTTATTCTATCTTATTAACATATTAATGTCAAATATGAGTCATAATACTCATATTGAAATGACAGCTTTATTTTTAAATAAACGTTTTTGTTGATTTTCTTTACAATTGTATATAAATTATATTCGTTTCAAATTACTATGATAAAAATAGCAGACTGTAATCATATTCGCATTAGAGATGGCAATGCTTATGGTATCGACATTGAAAAATTTGTACACTCTGTAGAAAAAGAATTTAAAATCGATTTTAGGTCTTTACCACAATGGAAAGAAATAGTGAAACGTTTGCACGTGATTACTACCGACTGCAAACGAAGAATACAAGACTCCAAGTATCGCAAAATGATTATAATCAATAAACTTTATAATGAGTCTATAAGATTATCTCCATTCGAATTAACAGAAAATTTGGCAAGAACTTCGAAAAAGTGGCAAATTATGGAAAATAAAAGAAACAAACTAAAGAATATACTAAAATTAAAAACAGATATCATATCTAATGTTCAAAATTCTGAATCTTCATTGAACATTTTCAATCAAGAAAAAAGTGAAGGAGAACTCACTGCCCATCCAAATACAGAAATAATTCCCTCTGAAGAGATTTTTGAAATGCAAGTAAAATCAAAACCAGAAATGGATGCAAAAATAAGTACACCAACACATTTACCAGTTAATATTTGTATCAATCAGCATAAACTCGTTTCACCTCTTATCTCTCCGTACAGTTACGTAAGTTACAAGACGAATTCGATCGTTGAAGAAGTCGAGATGAAAACAATCGGTAAAGTTGATGAAAAAGAATGGTTGTTATTGAATAAAACATTGTCGATAACTTCTTCCCCAAAGGAAATTATTATCGATGATGAGTCAATGCAAGAGCAAGTTATTAATTTCTCCGTAATAAATTTTTCTACAAAATTCGTATTTGTAAGATTTATTTGTGTGACGGAAAAATCACCATTTAAATGGGCTAAAATTTTACCAGTCACTCCCTTAAAATTATGCCCAGGATTACGCATTAAGTATAAGTTCATATTTAAATTAATACAAAATATTAAGGATTTTGTGTCGAGCTTATATTTCAGAATAGGTCATGATATCTTAACACAAGCACCACTTGAAGCTTTATGTATTCCTGTACGAAGTAGATTTAATGCAGCTAGATTGATATCAGTTTCTAAAGTTGTATCTATACCTCCTGTTTATCAATGGCATATACAAAGGACTTGTGGATTTCCTTCAGGATGTATCAAAATAGCTGTTGATAAAAATATTTATAATGTGCATATAATAAAAAGAACAGTCGATTTTGTTGTAGAATCAAAAAAAGATTTGTTATCATTACAAGTAGTGTGTTCCAATACAGAAAGCTTGAAAGAAATGATAGATGATCCGGACGTTGAAACTCAAAGTAAACCATTAACTCCTAAAGACAATGTTTCTCCTGATGTAGAAATCGTAAACTCTATAGATGTAATCATATTAGTGGTTCATGATATTATTGAAATTGCATTAGAACCCTTTATGTTTGAACATACGTATTTAAAACTGCAACCTTATTCAAAACATAATATTCCAGTTTATTTCACGAAATCTGAACGTATAGGCAGTCATTACTGCTGTTATGACTTAGAATTTTTCGATCCTAATACAGAAGAAATAATAATGACAAAACGAGTAAAAATATTCGCCGAAGTACTACCCAATCCTATAAATATATATCCCAATATACTCGATATGTCTGAATCACCAATACGCCATGGGTTTTGCGAAGATAGTTTTACTATTACAAATAGTCATAAAGTATATCCAGTTACTGTAAAAATTATGTTAACGACCAAAATGAAAAAGATTTTACATATAAACCCTTTGGAAGTATTAATTCCTGCTACATCGAGAGTAAAATTTGAAGTTAAATTTTGCTCCCCCAGACTTTTGGCGAAGAAACCTGAGGAATTTGTACATTTTACATTCAAGATTATCATTAAAGGAAATCAAACTGTATACCACCACGTACCACCTCTTTTCTATGAAATTATAGCTCCATGTGTACCAGAATTCAAAAAAATATACAATAAAAAATATTATCCTTAGATACTTGACATTGAGCAAAATAAATTATTTTAAATAATTTTCAGTGATTTTTTTCTATAATTTCATTTTGATACATTGTCTGAGATAGTTGCTTCTATAAAAAAGTAGGAAATGTCGAAGAATGTCGCTAAGAGGGAGGCAAGGATTAAACCTGTTGGCCGACTTCAACTATGTAATACAGGTCAAGTGAGTTGATTGCTTGAACCCGCATAATATTCCAGTTCAGAACTGCAGGTCACACATGAACCGGTTTGGCGACACAATCGATTGTAAATCAAAGTAAACATTGATGAAGTATATTGTATGATATAAATTTATGTTACATTTGAATGATCAGCATAAATTAGCGTTTCGATTAATTCGTGATGAAATATTGGTCGATTTTAATGTCACTGTACAACGTATAGTAAATTTATACATGTATATGTATGTATTCTGTCGTAGATTGGTTCTGTTTAGGGATAAAGTTTGTGGTATCTGTTATTTTTCATTATATTTAGAACTTTTTTCTTTTTTGTAAATTGAAGTGGAATCGGGAATATTTGCCTAATATATAGTAATTATATTTTAATTGCCAAATAAATTAGTTGTAAAAAAAATCAAGATTAAACGAATTATTTTATAACTACAATTAAAGTAAATAAACCTAAGAATATGAATATATGTAACTTAACCTAAACTAATATTTCTTATAAATCAAGTTAAATTAGTTTAAATAAGTTTTTTTTTTTAAATAGTTTTAAATCCTATTCTCACTTTGATATTATAATTACTTATTATGGTTAAAGAATATTTTTGTTGCTAAACCATATATCAATTATCTACAACTCCTATGTGTATCCGTTTTATAATATTATTTAATTGTAGGATTTCTTCGATTTTTATACTACATAAACTTCTACTATTGTGTAAGTTTCGGTACTCGTTGTCTACTTTTATTTAAATTAAAAAATGTAACTATAATTTTTTTAATGACTATTTGTTCTAAAAAAAGAAATTGATAAAGACTAGAATAAAATAAATAAAATATATTAATAGGTAAATGGCTTAAAAAGGTAATTTCAATCTAACTGTACTGTTTTTTTTTCTGTGTATATTTATTAATCATAATTTTATTTTAATAAAGTCTTCAATTATTTAGCCTTTATATTCTTGTATACTTTAAATTCAAATGAACTGATCATAATTTCGAATTCCACAGGCATATTTTCTGTAATATTTATAAAATTTTATCGTTTAAATTCGTCGTCGCGTCTAGTAATTGTCAATCGTATTACCGACTATTTCTTTAACTAATTCTTTTCAATTCGGTACTTTTTATTTAATTACGTCAATCGATTTTTATATATACGCAAATTACAAATATGCAACATACTCGTATTGTTATTTCCGTACATGTGATAATATATTTTTGGTATAAATATAACGTTTTTTTCTAAGTATATATCTATATAATTATTGTAACTACATTTAATTATGCTGTGATATATATGTATAATCTTAATGGCTAAATCATCCAATCATACATCTAATCTATAGATTAGATCCAAAATATAGATAATATAAATGGATATTATTCAGATCAGATAATTAATTTCATATATATGCAAGTTACAGATATGCAACATACTCGTATTGTTATTTCCATATATGTGATAATATTATTTTGGTATAAATATAACGTTTTTTTTTTTCTAAGTATATATCTATAGTATTATTTTAAGTACGTATAATTAATGAGCTATAATTATGCTATGATACATATGTATAATCTTAATGGCTTAATTCATACATCTAATCTATAGATTAGGTCCAAAATATAGATAATATAAATGGATATTATTCAGATCAGATAATTAGATTAATAAAATTTGATAATTTGATGTAACCTTCATATATAGCGTTTATTAAATATTAGCGTAAAATAAATAATCCTATTTCTTGCTTGAATTGAATATGGTTCAACTTACGATATCAAGTAAGAAATAGCATTATTTATTTTACGACACCCTTATATACATTTCCTTGTGTGAATTAGAATTAGAATTTTCTAATCGATTGTCTTATCCGAAGCTGTCATAAACCTACTTGACATGCAATGAATTCTCGAATCGCGCCGATGCAACAATGCCAACTGAAAATCGATTAGTATTGATTTATTTAAAATACAATCACGAATCCTTTTTTAGTATTCGCTTCGTACATGACTTTCACTATTAAAATACTTACCATATTCGCTCACCCCTATAGTTTTTAAACAAGACAAATTTTCACTTGTTACCTAAAATCCGACTGAAAATTCGAAAGTTGTGAATACCATTATTTGAATAGTTGTTATAAACATGTTATAAAATATCTTTTTCCTGAGGGTTGACTGGGAGAGAATACTAGTCAGTATTATATTTCGAACTATGCATTAAGTGGTTAATAAAGTTATAAATAAATATTTTCATTTGATTTCGCGTAAATTTGCAAATTCAACCCTTACAAATCTAGCTTATCAAGAAAGTTAAGTTAAGCGGAAGTTAGATAGTAAAACCCTACCTCATAGCAGAAGATGGGTCGATAACTGCCGATATTACGCACAGAACGACATCTGGGTGATATAAATGGCAAACACTAAGTCGAATTCTCTATAATCCAAAACTGCCTATTAAAACTAAAGGTTATAAACAAATGTAAGACCAGTTTTATTCATGTCGTATGTTTTTTTTAGTCATAACCAAAATCATTAAAATGTGCATGTTGCATTGGGCGGGTGGAGTTATTCTTTAAGTGCGCAACGAGTAGGTATATATGGGGTAGTTTCAAGGTTGCGCATATCACAGATATATATATATATATATATATATATATATATATATATATATATATATATATATATATATATATATATATATATATATATATATATATATATATATATATATACCCGATTACGAAAGCTGACCCTGCGTAACGGGAAGAGGCGAGGGAAAACAAGATTTCGCCTGGACCGTAATTCTTGTCGTCTACTTATACCTAATTTCTAAATTCAAACAGGAGGGAAGGGCAGATATTGTTAGTAAGGGGGCCTAATAATCATATAATCATGTCGATCTCACTGCGATGTTCCTAGAAAACCATCCCGATTAATTCGTTACGATGGGGTCACAGACTTAGTTTCATTCTCACCTATTATCATTTACTAGTACTCGGCTAGAGTACACCGCGCAGATGAGGTTGCCACTTCATTCCATCACATGGAAAACGAAAAGTGATATAAACAATATATGTAAGTAACTCAGTCTAGTAGTACCCCCAATATCTTACGTCAAATGTAAACCAGACTTATTCGTTGAATGAGGTAACGTTCATTATTATTATTATTTCATGGAAGCTAGTCAAAGCGACTACACCCCATGATAGCAGGTACTATGATCCAAACATGAAAGTCGGTTTCGCAGTAGTTTATACTGTGACGATCGTCATCTTGACAGCCTGTAAATGTAGTTTTCACGCTCCGCTTAAATGCCTAAAATTAAAATTTATGTGTGAAACCTAACTACAAACATCATCTTCTTCATCTATCCTTAACTCAATTATTATTCGGAGGTTAGCATATTTTTCTCTTCCATTCTTTTCTATTCGCAGTCATTTTCACGTTCACACTCATTCTGGCCGTATCATTTTTACACGATCCATCCATGTCTTTTTATGCCTACTTGACTACGTATTGGAAAGTATTAAATTTTAAAGGGCGATGATCAACAACTTAACAAAGGTTACAGACGATAAATCTCAGCGGGGTCCTATAACGGAATTCCACATGTAGCGAAAGCCATATTTGGCGCTGAAAGACGATAAACTCTAAGAACTTACTCGTAAAGTAACAACGGCGTAAATTTGATTTATGGTTGTTTAAAGACTTCAGTCGGCTTTAAATATATTTAGACTCATAATACTCATGTTAATCGTTGATAACGTAATCGACAGGGGGGAAAGGGATTGTTAGTAATGGGGCCTAACCGACCTATTACTAGCAATGCTGATAGGGTTATCAGGTCTGCCTCCACGCGGTTCCCTCTGGAAACCATCGTGATTAATTCTAGTCGAATTCGTCACGATAGGCTAACTGATCTGCTTTCATCGTCACCTATCATCCCTCACTGGTGCTCCGCTACCGTATACCGATAGTGGAGGCAGGGTTACCATTCCATTGTCATTCATTAAAAAGAACGTAAGCTTAAGCATTATCAGCGAGTAACATGGGCTGTATTTATCTATAGATGAATTTATTTTTTAAAGTAGGCTAGATATTTTTAGAATTTATCAATTACAATTAAAAAAATATTTATAATATTAATTTAAATACGAGTATACTATGGCTATCGGATGTTTGAAATAAAAATCCCGTATCAAAATGTTTTTTAATGGTAATCTCCGAAAATAACTCAAACATTTTTTATCAAATTTTGTAAATGTATGTTATTTACTCAATCTAGAGTGAAATAGGATAGTTTTATATTTTTATGTTTTATAAGGCAAATAAACATTTATATATACTAAGACCCGACCATTTACCCTCCACTCTGCTGATGTCCAAATTAAAAGTGGATTGAATGTTTCGATTTGTAACTTATTTCATTTATCGAATATATCTGTGGCGAGGGATGTACAGCAGCATCTTTCTTTAAACATCACCAAAACCTAACTGCGGTTGCCACCCGCCTGCCAAGCGTGGTAATTACTGGCAAAACTCCCCAATAGGGGTAGGCCTATGTTCAGCAGTGGACAATTAACGGCTGATATGATAATAATAACGCTGCTCTGTGATAATTTCAACCAAACTTTGTTACCTTTTTGTTAAGTTCTATTTAAATAGACTATACATAAACCTTGCGGTCGCCGAACAAATTCAGATAGGCAGTAGCTTTTCGCAAAAGCCTCGAGTCGACGTGAACCTTTTGTTGCGGTGCAAATCACGCTATTTCACCTAACCCAAATGTGTTATTGTTTTAACACAAGGACTGTTTTATAGCATCAGCGTGGCTT